TCATCTTTCTTCTATTATCAACACAAACAATTTGGAATGGGCAAAATGTTTGACTCATACCTTTTTGTTGGAATAATTTCCTTCTCTCTTTTATCTTCCAATTGTTTGTTTTTGTTTTTGTTTTTCTGGCAGTCCCCATCCTTTCCAGATAGAAATTAAAGTGAACAAAATGCCTTGGAAAAAGTTGTTTTTTTTTTTCTTGAAATCTCCAGCTCAAAATGAAATGGCTAAAATTTTTGTAAGAGTTTATTCATGGGCAGGTTTCAGGCATGTTTGCAGACACGACTGAGTCATTTGCTTAAGGATAAATACAGGTGTAAGTTTATTGGAAACTTTTTAAAATCACAGAATCAGTAAGGTTGGAAAAGACCTCTAAGATCACCCAGTCCAGTCGTCAGCCCATCCCCACCATGCCCACTGACTGTGTCCCTCAGTGCCACATCCACACTGGAACACCTCCAGGGATGGTGATCCCACCACCTCCCTGGGCAGCCTGTGCCACTAACATCCAACCTGATTCTCTGCTGGTGTAATTTGAGGCCATTCCTTCTCATCCTACGTCTGTTACCTGGGAGCAGAGGCTGATCCCCACCTCACCACATCTTTTCAGGTTACTGCAGAGAGTAATAAGGTCTCCCATGAGCATCTTCTTCTTCAGTCTATCAGTCTATCTATAGGTTTGGGAAACCTTAGTTCACCTGTCCCATCTCTCTGATGGTAGAAGATGTTCCTGAGGATGATGTAAGCAGTCTGCAGCAAGTGTTTGCAGAATAACCTGTGTGCTTGGATAGGACTTTATTCAGTTGCCTAAGAGAGCTTGGCTAAAACGTGGAAACATGGGGCCTACAACCTTTTCTGTGGCTTTTGTTACCGTTCATTGTGCCTGGGATACCTGTGTGGTGCTTTGCAGTTTTTGACACATCTGTGCTGCTTGGTGAAGAGTTGTTATAACAGTGAGAAGAGAGGAATGTATAGAAGTAAAAAAGAAAGAAAAGAGAGTTAGCTCTTACCCTGTCTTATTCCCTATCCTTTCTCATTGCTAAGGGCCTGCTGCCATTCAGTCTTTCATTTGTTGTAAGGAAAACCATGTCTTGTAGGGTTTGACTTGAAATATGTTCAGTATTTTCACGTAACCATTCTGGATGCCTTGCAGGAAGGCAGGCAGTGCATGCTGGCAGTGCCAGGCAGCAGGCATGAGTGACAGCTCACAGCAGCTCTCTTTCTGGGGGGCCTGTTAGATCACATCATGGTAAAAACAGAGGAAATAGGTCGTTATAATGTGCAATGTAATGAAATCTGTCAGGCCATTCATGGAGCATGAAAATAAATACAGCTTGAATCCAAGAGGACAGTAGGGATTGGTGTCCCACCCGATGTGTACAGTGATAGCCACATGTAAAACTTTTCGGCATGTGATGAGAGCTAGCTGCTAAACAGTTCTCATGGTGCCTCAGTTTCCTCACCTGTATACTTCCTTCAGCAAAATATACTGGAGTTTATCCTCTTCAGAGGATATCACTATCAGCTCTTCCAGGAATGTTATTCCCTACCAAAGGGTGGAGGGACAGCCTCATCTGTTGCTGGACTGATCGCCTTAGGCCAGCCCAGCATGGTGATTGGTCATCCTTAGTGACTTTCTCTATTTCTACCTACTACTGCCTCTGTTGTTGAGGTGGAGAGTAGAAAACTGCCAAATTTGAGTTACAAATATTCATACAGGTGCCCCATGGATTTAGACATAACGTTGTTTTGTGTTTTGTTCTCTGTTCCTTTGCTGACATTTCCAAACCCACCTTTCTGACTTTTACTCAGCTAAAGCTTTGACAGAATTATCAACAGGAGCTTATAGGTATCTTTCCTGAGTAGTAGTTGCTAACTTTAAGTTTCTCAATGTCTTCATTGTAGTGAAGGCAGTTTATTTGCATGTCCATTACTTTCCAGCCGTGAGCGCAGAGATTCATCTTCCATTTTAGCAGTATTTTGAAAGCCATCTGCAAGTCTTTGTGATCGGGTTTAATTTGTATTACCATGAATTTTTTTTGTCTCGTCAGTAAGCTTTGTCACTTCATTTTTTTCCATAGCATTTATGAATATGTTGAACTGTTAATTCATTCCCTATTATTTATTCAGCTGTTAATCCTCTGTAGGATCTTTCTTCTTCTTGGAGAGCTTAGGAGGGAGGCTTTTAAAGACTCTTCAGTAAGAGACTTCATCAAAAAGGGTTTAGAAATGAATGTATGTTACATCAAATGATCACCTGCACCCACATGCTCAGCATCTCCTTCACAGAACTGTATCAGATTTGTACAGTAGTACTTCCTTCTGCAAAACCTACAAGGTGCAACCGCTATGTCATTTCTCTCTTCCCGGTAATTTTTTCCTTCATTATGGTTTCTGTGTATTAATTTCAGGCATGCAGAAGTTAGACCTCCTGCTCTTTGCATCCCCTCAAAGCACTTTGAAAATGGTTGACGTTGTGTTTGCTGCTTTTTGCCCTAATATGGAGACTGAGTTAAGTCCTACATTATATGCCACAGCTTAATTGCTCAACCTTTACTATGTCATGCTCCGTTTAATTTTCAATCAAGATTTCTAAAATATTGAATTATTGGATTTACTTCTGTTCATTTGCTGATTTGTCCTAAAATCACTTCTTCCACTTTCCCTGGCTTTTCTCCACAAAGAAAACCCCAATGTGGGAAACAGCTTACATCCCTTTGGAAGACACGCGGATGCTGAGAATTCACTTAGCTTTTATGCTTCATCCTTATCTTCTTTGAGCACTCTTTTTACATCTCAATCATCTGTCAGCCTTACAGACACTCTGGCAGGCTTCCTGCTTCTGTTGTCTTTGAAAATAATTTTATTACATGTTTTTATGTCTTCAGCTACTTGTTCCTCAAGATATGCTTTTCAATGGACTTATTATGGTTTCTCATTTAACTCGCCAGATCTGTGCTCTTTTCTGTTTTCTATATTTGGGTAGAACTCACACTTTTTGAGGGATCATACCCTCCATTATTTGGCTGTTAAACAAGGATGGGCTGAGGCAGCAGCAGCAAACTGACAGCACCATTAAAAGCATGTATCGTACCGAGTATCTCCAACTTTAGAGACTGAAAATGGCCTGTGATGGACTGTTTCAGTGCCTCCACCTCTGTCCTCCATGCCAATTCCTGACCGTCCTTGTCCAAGCACGTGGACCCATTACCACTGTGGCACTGTCACTGCAGGGAGGAGCCTGTATGGGCTGAGCTCTCCTTTCCTTCCTTTCCCCTAGACAGCAATACACCTCCTGCTTTCTAGAAAAGTGCCAGAGGAGAGGAGAGCTACTGAAAAAGGTATGGGGCAAGCGTGGCTCTGAGACCTGGGGGGCCAAGCTGTGTGGGAAAAGCTGTACAGAGGGAGGTGGGATCTTGGAGGGAGAGGTAAAGCACTGCAGGGCAGGGGAAAAGCATGGGATCCCTGTCATCTTGTTGGGCGGCTTCCACACCAGAGCAGTGCTTGTGCGGGACAAATCCCTGCACTGCGGTCACATCCAACCAGCTGAGAGCTGCAGGAGGAGGTGGGGCAGAATGCTTTCCCCAGCCCGGGTCCTCAGCACCAGCAAACATTCATGATGTTATGCGCTCACAGCATTGTTCAGAGTTGTGGTACTCTTCGGTGCTGCCTGTTCACGGCGTCTCATGGTGCTGCCCTGCTCTGCTCTGCGTGCTTGGAGCAGCACAAGAGGCCCCGGTCTTCCCAGGGTGATCAAGAGCTGTCCTCACTTGGGTTAATGACTGCTGTTGGTCGTAGAGCCCTAAAAGTGTTTTCCTTCTATGGATCCTATTCTTTGGAGGTTCATTTTGTCAGAGCATTGTACAAGGGCTCAGTCCGGAGCCCTGCATTCCTTTGGATGGCAGTGCAGCCAAGACTGAAACATACAATGCTGAGTGCTTTTGTAGCTTGTTCTCCCTTATAAATTTTACCCTCTTATCACTGACAGTCAGCGGAGCTGCGCCGTTAACTCAGTAGCAAGAGGTTTGTGTTTTTGGAACGAAATATTCCCATGCCACTTGTATGTGGCTTAGCTGGTGACAACAAAGCCTTTATCTATCACAGCTCTTCTAGATAACGGGTCCCTCCGCCATTGTTTCTGCTGAAATGTCATCAGGAATTTCTGTACAGATGTTCAGGGTTGAATCCTGTCCCTGGTTGCTCATCAGTCTGATAGGTTGTTCTTGCAGAGAGGAACAAAGATGCAGCAGCTCGCACTGTGTCTGTCAGCACGACACCTTGCTGGATGGAGCTGCCTGCTGGAGATATGCGTGCTGCAGGCAGGGAGATCAGGATTCTGTTCATAGGGCTGCTTTAAGCAGCCACTTTGTAGGCCACTGTGCTTTCTTCTGTGATGTTAATATGTGAGATTGAGTAGGGGTGAACCTGAGCCATCCCAGAGTGATAAACTTCATAGGAGGTAACCTTCCCTGGCATTGTTATTACTGAATTTTGATCCAACTTGGTGTAGTGGAACAATGTTAAACTCTTTGGGATGTTGCTGTCAGATTATGCTGCGTGCTGACATGATTTAGGTCTCAGCTCTTTTGATCAACAGAGAGAGGCTGATGTTCTTGCTCAGGGAATGGCATTCTGCCAAACTGAAAGACCTGCCTCATGCTCTCAAAGCTGGACTGCTTTTCTCTTCTCCATCAGTGAACCTTCTGCAGTTTCAGTCCCACAGAATGGCAGTAGCCCTGTGCCCCTTGGATCTGCCTCGTTGCAGTGGGGAACCACAGAGAAAATTCACCTCCATGCAGAGAACCAGCACAAAATGGAGGTACTTGTCAGCCTATACTCGGAACTGACAAATCCTCCTTTAAACGTCGCAGAGGCTTCATGCTAAACCCTGCACAAAGGTGATTTTTTTTTTTCCCTTAGAACATTATGCACAGTCTAAAATTGTCTTTGGTTACTTGAAAGCTTAAAGGAGTTGCACCAGGCAGTTAAAAGCAGAATCTGACTGCCTGCAAACTGCAGTGCTGTCCTTTGGGATAAAAGGCTCTTGAGAAATGGAAGTTCTGACAATTGCCCCCAAAAAATCCCATCTCGGTGTGTCATGGGGCGGTGCTCAAAGTCACACACATGCAGAGAGGGATGTTTTCACATCCCCTTTGGAGGGGAGTTTTCACAAGGGCCCAGCACTGACCCGCACATCCTCAAGTTACAGATGGAGGGAGGAATGGGATCAGAAAAACAGAGCTGGTTTGAAGTTCAGGTGATGAAAAGTGGTAGGCTGCCCTTCAAAGACAGGATTACCGGCTAGTGCTGCTTTAGTAGTTGGTGGGGGAAGAGCTTAAGGCCACAGCATTGCTGATTTATCAACACAGCCAACACTGTGCATGGTATTTGAGTCGCTTCTAAATCCAGCCGCTGGCAATGAAAAGCACATTTAATCCATGTGTTAGATTGTTTGAAGAGGTATCTGTCTCCTGGTCTCTCCCCATGGTTGTGATTGCTGAAATTGAAAATGAGGTGAGAGAGGAGATTTTAACCGTTTCACAAACACTTCCCCTCTCGAGAGGGTCACGTCTCCAGTGGCATCTTTAGCACCTGGGAGACTGTGAAATGAAAGGCTCTTCCCCTTCCTGCTCCCTGCGGAGAGAAGCCCTGCTGCCTATCCTGTGATTGAGGAGCAAAAATCAAAGACGGGATTTGTATTTATACAGTTTATTGTTTTGAACTGGTTTGGGGTTGGGGTTTTTTCCATTTGTTCTCTTTGATTTCTTTTTTTGTGTGTTTTGTTGTTGTTTTTTCCTTTTCTTCTCTTTTTTTTTTTTTTTTTTTCCTTGAGATGGGATTAATGTTCTGCATTAGGAGTTCCAGGATTCATTTGCACTATCGGCTCTGATCCCCACCACAATAAGATAAAATACAGAAATACATCCCTTACTAAAGTAATTTTCCTTGGTCTTTTTTCTTTGGTTCTCTACCGTGAAAGGGTATTATTGTTTATCTAGTTCTCCCAATGGTTAATTCCTCTCTTATTTGATACCCTTACTCTCTATCAGCAAGCATGGCTGTGGGAAGATACAAACAGGAGTGCAAAGAATGTCAGTGCAAGAACAGAGGGTAGTCTTCAGATCAAGTCTGAGTTGTACTCACAGAGTTGCACTTGGAATAAAAGAGGGACAGTTAGACAGCAAGCTTAAGCTATATTTGCAGCTCTGACACACACAGAGCAAATGAGTAAGAATTAAAGAGCGTCAGTAAGTGGATGGAGAGAAAACTCAGTGAAAAGGGCTAGAAGCTGCTCGAGAATGAGAATAAGGTACATTGGTAAAACATAGTCTGTTACAGGTAGGTATGGATGTATTGGGCAAAACCTCGGGGCTCTGGGTTGGAATAGCAGGTGTGTGGCAAGTCACAAGGGCTATGTGTCATGCTACCCGTGAGTCCCAGCACATAACAAGTCCCACTGCTGTAGGACAAGTTGATGGATGCTCAACAGGCAGAGCTGCCTGTGGACTGCTGATCAATCTGCCCTGGTGCTGCATAGCTCACCTCAGTCCTATGAATACCAATTCAACTACAATATGCAGCATGAAACGAGAGTGTGAACAGAATCCAAGAGAAAGCAAGTGAAGATCTTCCTTGTAGTTAGAAATGAGATGTAGGACGGGTTTTTTGCTGGCAAGGCAGACGTTGCTCAGGTGAAGAGCTGCTCCCAGTTGCTCCCTGGGACCAAACCTTGGTGTTGTTCCATTGCCACCTACCAACAGCTCAGTCGGCAGCGGTGGCACTGACAATTCAGTGACCTCAAAGACTTGTGGCTGGTCCCCAATTGGACTGACTGTCCTGACCAAATCTCCCATTGTTGTTTTTCCTGTGAAATTGTCTTTCCAGAATGATGTTTTTCCTTTTGAATCCTTGAACTATTTACTGTTGGTGCCATCTCCATGGCTCTATCTGCAGTTTTTACCCTATTTTTTTTTTTCTAAGTATTTTCTCCTAGATCTTATTAAGTAGTTTGAGTCAGTTACACAGTTGTGCCTGGATTACTGGTACACAGGCAGTTAAATCCCTGGATTGTGTGTCAAAGGCAAGCTTACAGCAGGGGTTACAGTAGCCCATTAATTTAAAAGTGACAGAATTTTGGAGCTCACTCATCACATTGTTTTGGGGGGATCTCATCTCAGTTGTAACAGGACACTCAAGAAATAGTTCCCTAACTTGAGTTGTTGGTACTGTTTCTTTTTTGGGTTTTCTGGTTAAAAATATTTTGGATCAGGCAAGTTGGCACTTCTCTAGTCTTACAGTCTGGGAGATTCTGTGGGAAGTGAAGCTAGGTGAAGCCTTTGACTTCAGGATCATAGTTTCCAGATGAACCTAGTTTAGTAACCACTGAAGTTACTTCTGTACTGGAGCTGTGTGATGGTCTTCACAAGCTGGGCTGTTGGAACATCTCACAGCAGTGCCTTTGCTTAATGTGGCACTGCCTCACTCTTTGTCTTGACACTGGCAGCCTCGCTGCTGGGCTGCAGGGAGCACGAGCCAGCCATGGGAAACGAGTAACTCCCTTGATCATAGAAGTGGTCCTGCTGGGGTACATCTGAGTTGCATGTGCAGGAAGTGGTGAAGAAGCGAAGTTCATGCTGTGACTTCCCGTGCCACATGTGCTCTGCTGATGAAAAGCAGGCTTTGGTTTGCAGGCTGTCTGGTATGTTTCAGGCTCCTGAGTTATGAACACAGAGGAAGGGTAAGTGCGTGCCTTAAATTTGTCAGTGCTACAGTTTCACACTCCGCCAGCTTCAAAACAGGGATGGCAATCTTTCTGCAAACAGTTTTTCCTAGCTATATGCTGTGGTTACCCATGCAAAGCCATCACAGAGGAAAGTCTCTTTCAACCTTCAGAGTTGTGGCCCCTGTCCAAGAAAAAAAAATATTTATTGCAAGCTCTTCTTTTTGTCCACAATTTGCCTCCCTCTTGAGATAAAGAGTAAGTGATCGCAGAGGGCAACTACATTATTCTATTGCATGACAGAATCATTTGATTAACTGAGAACTGCGTCAGGTCCTTGGTCTACACAGAAGAAGGTTTTTTTCCTGCTACCAGCTTCTTTGGGGATGTGTGCAAACTTTTCCATGAAATTGCTGCAGAGAAAAAGATTTGTTGGAATGAGCTGATACACTGGATTTTTTTAATTTCTTGAGAGACTTATAGCTTCTTGGCCATGCTATCTCTTCTGCCTGCTAATGTCCTTCAGTATCTAGTAACTAACGTCAACTAATGGTAGGTGCATGCTCATCTATGTGCAAATCACAGCACTGCTTATAAGCTTTCTGCAAGCTAGACTCAGCAGTCTCAGCACCGTTTAGATACTGACCTGCATACACTTCTTTCAGCTCTGCTCTGCCACCAATACAGTATGGAAGCCATCGCCAAGTTTGATTTCACTGCTTCTGGAGAGGATGAGCTGAGTTTCCAAGCTGGGGATATCCTGAAGGTAAGTGTGGCTCTAAGAATGACTAAAGATCAGTGCTGATGTTCTGCCAAGGCTTTCTGCCTTGACAAAGCATATGAATGCTAATGTCTATGAACTGGGATAGGAATGCAGGATATTAGATTCCCATAGTCAACCAGCAACCTCCACTGGGTCCACTCTACGTGACTCTACTTGGTCCCTAAATTATGCATGTAGTTGTCCTGTAGTCCTCTAGCAATCAATGGGGAAGTATAATCATCTTTGCAGTGGAAGAGATCCAGTTCTTTGTTAGAACAGTTTTTGAAGATCCTGTCTGTTTTCATCGAATATGGAGGTAGTCTAGAGTGACTGTTTTTAGGATGACTGTGTCTGAAGGCAAGCAGGATGAATACAAGCCAGAGAGTTTGCTGTATTCCTCGTTTCCAACTCTTAAACTGTTAAAATGATGGCTAACATGCATTGTAGAACTTACATCTAACTTTTCACCATAAGTAATTACTGTTAGTTGCCTCAGGGGCTTTAGGCAGTTGCAAATGGAAGAGGAAATGTCCATGAAACAGTCTGTTACACACATAATAGAAAAATTTAAGAGGTCCTCAGCTAGTAATGTTACACAAACTCCCGCAGGAACTGAGCAGTGGAAGAATAGCAAAATGGCAGAAGTTATCATAAGAAATACAGAGTATAAGAGAGTCTCTTGAACGTTGATGTGCATGTGTTACAGTAAAACAGTTTGTTAACGCTACTGAAGTGTCAAAGATGAAGCCACACTTGCTCCACCCAAATTATTTGCCCACTTTTCAACCCACAACATAGTTGTTCTGCTTCAGTTGAAAATGACTGGGCAAAACATTTCTCTAAGGCCTTAACTCCTCCACTAGCCAAAGGGATATTGCAAAATAATGAGATATAAAATCTTGTTCTACCAAGAAACCTTCACCACCTCCCTGTACAGACCCAGCTGTTCCATTTAATGACCAGATATTATGGCTTGGCTCTGCCTCTTCCATCAGCACCATTTCTTATTTTATTGCCCTTTTAATCCTTAAAGCTTAAACAAAGCTAATGGCATCCAGAATTCATTAAGATCAAAGACTTTTTTTTTTCCCCTAGTGATATGTGAAGGATTGATGAACACTCCCATTCCTAATTCTTCCTTAATTTCGAGTAGTCCTCACACCCCTACCATCCCCTGATCTTTACCTGATATCTGCTTCCTCAGGAGACTGTGGTTTCATTAAAGCCCTGGCTACAGTGATGGCATTGGCCTGGTCACCTTTCCTTCTGTTAGTTTCCCTTCCTGTACAATCATTAGAAACTAGAGCTTCCTTTCAAATTACATCGAAAGCTGCTGATGAAAAAGGGTCAAATATATCAGTATTAATATTAGTAGTCACTAAGACTTCACTATCAGAAGTCAGACAGCCTATTGCTTTAAGGTCCTTCAGGTGAACAAACTGGCACTGCCCAAGACCTAGCAGCAGTAAAATAACCTGAGCAGTGCCTCTCCATCTGGCAAACACACACATACATTCATACCCCATCCCGAGCCCCCTTCTGCTGCCTGCTCAACCCGCTGGCTGTCTGCTCTGATTTATGAAGAAGATAAAATGAACAGTATTGATGCAGAGACTAGAAAACAGGAAACACGAGGCCCTCAACCACCAGTGACAGGAGGAAATCTGCCCTCTCTCACACACACATCCCACATCCTTCTCTGAGAGGATGACACACAGAAACCTGACAGTCGTGCGCTAAGGACCAGGAGGTATGTCGTCCTAGAAACATTGCTGCCAATAGGACTTGAGCAGGGTGTGGTGTGTGGCTGTCATTCCCTTTGGTTGGCCACAGCAGCGAAAAAAGAGAACCTTAATCCTGAACCCAGGGGTGGGAAAGCAGTAACAGGACAAGAAGGGATCTCCATGGCTTTCTATTCTCAACCTTTCTTTATCCAAATGCATGGAAGAGACATATGTGGCAGGCAAGGCAATGGAGAATCAGCCCCAAAGACAGCAGCATCCTGTTGCCAGCACCAAGCAGTTAGAATGTTAGCCTCCCAGAAACATGGGATTGGCTTATAGAACAAGTATTATTATTGTTAAACAATAGATTTCAAATAAAGTCTTTTCCACTTGTTTTCTCCTTTTAAAACTGTCAGGATACATCCTCTCAGGCTCCCCTCCAAAACCAGAATGAGCAGAAACACATTCTACTTTATAAAAAGGAATTCTGTCCCATGAATTGGAATGTCAAACAGAACACCAAAGACCTCAATGTTTGCAGGAAAGCCACGAACTTGCTGTGTCTCTGTCCTCTTCCTGCTAGCTGAGGTCTGCACCAGAGACCATCCACAAGGGAGCAGTGAATTTGGGCAGTCTGTGGTCAGCAGTGCACTCCCTATGGTCAGCATTAATGTGAACAGTCTTGAAGCTGCTCCATGTGCTCTGTAGGCTGGCTTCCTGCTGCCCTAAATATTGGAATTGTGGGTGTTGCTTTACAATGCTTTCTGCCTCCTTTTATCTACCCTGGCAAAGCTCACGGCCGCTGAAAACTTAGCCCACTAAATAGCCCACTAAATAGTTAGGCTACTAAATAGCCCACTAAATAGTCCAGAGAGTTGATGGATGCATCTGGTGATATTCAAGGTTAAGCTGAACCAGGCTCTGAACTGCTCTAGCTGTAAGTGTCCCTGTTCATTGCAGAGGAGTTGGACCAGATGGTCTTTAAGGGTTCCTTTCAATTCAAATGATTCTATTAAGTACGCTCGTGCAGAATGGTGTGTTGAGAGAATAGGATGACTTCTGTGCAGCCATAACACACACACACAGGTGCAGCTTTATATCCCTCCATACATGTCAGAGAAGTTTTCACTGATTTTTCTTTTCCCTGTGAATCTGAGATGATCCAGCACTACTAAAAGCAGCACAGAGAACTCCTTAAACCCCCATTAAGTCCCTCCAAGCTGGTTTCTCTCATCTCACAGACATCAGAGATATGCAGACTGCATCCCCTGCCACCTGGAGAGGCATTCAGAGGAAGGGATAAAGTTAACAAGCAATCAGTCTAATGCCACTTGGCCTTCTTCACTGTTTTCTTTGCACTGAAGTGGCCATCAGCCAGTAATTCTGCTTTAAGGTGGGTAAGAAGTAAAGTATATGAGGAATTCTCTTTCATTTTTACACAAAATTCTGGTTTTCAGTCAGTGTCTTAGTTTTGCCTTTCTCAGGAGACATGTTTATTCAATCTGTCTCTCCATTGCAGGTTTTGAGCTCCCAGGAAGAGTGGTACAAAGCTGAACTCCGAAGCCAAGAGGGCTATGTTCCTAAGAACTTCATTGATTTCCAAGTTCCCCCGTAAGTGTCATGGGAAATGCATGCACCAGCATTGCACATTTCTAAAGGATAGTCAAGGCAGGCATGACAGAGGAAGCACTGGTTATAACACACAATCATAGAAGCATTCAGGTTGGAAAAGACCACTAAGATCATCTGGTCCAGCCATCAGCCCATCACAGTTTGAGGCTGGCATGAAGCCACGCACAGTTCTGCCAGCGCACCTTCGTCCTACCCTGGAGCATCCTCTGTTCTTTCAGAACCGAACAGTTCTCTTTATCGCTCTCGAGTGACTCCTTTGTTACTGCTGCTCGTAGAGATGCCACTGGGATGCGACAGGAGCTGCATGGAGCTCTCCTTGGACAGAACGAGAATAGTCACGATGTGAAGTCTTGGCGACCGAGACAGAGGCTGGGCACAAAAGGAAGAGCAAGAACTCTCTGTAAATGAACTATAAAAGCCTAATTCCCTCCTCCCAACTCTTTCACCGCATTCTCTCTCGTTTCCCCACCCTGTCATCCGCATTCCCTCCCCCTGCGACGTGTGCGAGCTCCTCTCGGTACACTAGAGGTCAGTGCAACGCCGCACCAAGTGTGACAGCTCGTGGATTGACAGAGATGATAGACCAGCCGTGCCACTCGGCTCCCACACGCGTGCAGACACAAACACACATCCCTCTCCACGCTTTGTGTCTGCGCACCCAAACATAGATCTGTCACAGGGCAGGCGTGCCTCACGTCTGTCTCCCTACTGGGAAGATGGCACTGTGAGAAAGGACTGAGAGGTGTTGAAATGCTTGCTAAGCATGCTGCCCAGACCTGTGCCATAAAAATGCCAATAGACTGCAGTTTGATAGCCTTTCTCCTTGCAGTTGGCAGAAATACTCCCTGAAGCCCCTCAAAGAACTGCGCAGATGTGGCACTGAGGGATATGGTCAGTGGGATGGGCTGATGGTTGGACTGGGTGATCTTAGAGGTCTTTTCCAACCTCACTGATTCTGATTCTATTCTACGATCCTAAAATTGTCCTCTTTCAAAATAAGCACGGCAGCATTTCAGAGGACGTGGGCAGAGCACATCTCAAGCCCAATTCTGTTGGCTCTGACGTGCCGGTGCCCTCAACAGGCAAATACCATTGTGCCCTACATGTAAGCACCGCTGTTCCCTTTGGAGGTGGGATTGCTGGTTTCTTTGGACGTGAGCCCGCCTGCTCAGCTGAGCCAAAGAACTTACCTTGCTCTGCAAAGATGGGCTGTTGCATTGAGGCCTCAATGGGCCAGGATCTTCCAGTGCATTGTGCTTGTTCACACTTTAGCAGGGCTGTGGCATCCCACAGGGAAATGTGGGCAGCTTCTTATTTTCACACACATTTTCCTTGTGATGTTTTCTCCGTGCGAGAGGAGCTGTGAAGAAACATTTCTACTTTGACACTTCTCTAAGAGCGGGACATCTGCACTTGGAAACAGCTCGTGGCAGGTGCTAGAGCCAGATATAGGGAGGAAAGTCATTTCTTTTTTTTTTGGTGGACCATTTTTTCCAACTGTGTATTGTCAGTAAGCAGCGAAGCTTCGTATCAATGCTGATTAAATTCTGATTTCCCATTGACTGTTGATGATTCATAGGTAAACCACGACGGTGGTGACGAGAAGAATAACAGAACTGAAAAGATGAAGCTATAGAGCTTGCAAAACTATCAGTCCTTGATTTTAATGCAAAACAGCTAATGAAGCTGCAGATTTCAGATCTTATTACCTGCAGACGTAAGAAGTATACACTATGTTTTTTCTCTCTACTTAAAAATTCCTATGGACACAGTATTATTTTACTATTTTATGGTGACTTTTGTCATTATTTGTCCAGTGCCTTATACTACTGGCTACATTTACATGAGTGTAGTTATGAATTCTGTGGTTCTGAGATTTTGTGGTGTTATAAGTCTTGCAGAAGCCAATTTATTAGCACTGAAACTTTCATGCCTTGCTTCTGTTAAAAATTTATGTTTGTTCCTCACAATATATCCATCACACTCCAGTAATTTTCAATCAGTTTTCCAAGAGCAATTTGATGTATGTCTGAGAATTGTGCGTGCATATGTACGTGCATATGTATGTGCATATATATATATATATATACCTTTCTAATTTAAAATCTCTTTGAGTAACACCTTACTGCACTGTGCCTGTAATTAAACTTTTAGCTGAGTGTTGCTTAGCAGGCCAAAGCTTACTTTGGCCTCTTTGCATCTAAGTGCTTTTACTGCTCAAAGCAAATGGTTCACACCCATCAAGACCTTGTATCTTAGCGTGTCTGTGGGATGTGGGATCCTCTGATTCCTTTCTTTTGTCTTTGCGCCATCCTATTTATTCATAGTCTCCTTACCCTGAACTTTTCTGTTCCTTATCTTCATTCACACCTTTATTCACGTTTCCATGACTTCTCCCACTTGACAGCTGGTTTGATGAGAAGATATCCCGCCACGAAGCTGAGAGCATCCTCATGAGCAAAGGAGTTGGTTCTTTCATTGTCCGAGCCAGTCAGAACTCTCACGGTGACTTCTCCATCTCTGTCAGGTATCTGCTTCTCACAACACTTTTCTGCGTCTTTTTCTGGTTAATGATCTCCCTAGCTCCTTCTTGACAGGAATCCTAATGGGACCTTGCCTCTCAAGAAGTTTGAATGCCTCCAGCCAGGCAGTGCCTCTGCGTCACATGAATGAGAATGAGTTAGGCACCCGATTCCCCAATGTTTCAGTCTCCTTTCTAGTGATACAGCGAACGTCCCATTCCAAAGCTGCATTCCCTGGAGATCTGCTCCTCTGAAAGAACTGCAGCAAAGCGGAGTGGTACATGGGACATCTCCCGCAGTGCAAAACATGTGCCTTCCATTTGTATTATTTGGCAGCTTCAGTTACTATATCCAAGAATTCCATACTACCCATTAAGACAAGACTGTTACATTATTAACTTATTTCCCACCGGTCGATTGGATAGAATTGGCTTTTAGTTGCTAGTAGCCCAGCTGCTTTACATCCACTTATTGTACCTCTGCCCTTCTCATTGCTTCAAAGCAGAGCTGTTAAATGCTGGTCAGTTTCCAGATTTTCAATTAATCAATATTCAGTCAATAATCAGTTATAAACTAAAGTACGGATTAGCACTGCCTTTCCCAAGCATAGTGAACTTTCTGCTTCAAGAAGCTCAAAAAGTATCTGGGGGGGATGCAGGAAAACATGTTGCCAGGATCATTTAGTTCACTGTGGACCCCTCTTTCTGTGTCCCAGTTCAAGTGACCATGGCTACCTGTGCATCAATGATCTGAGCACTGTCAGGCACTTTCTCTGGCCCAAAAGTCAAACAGTGCAGCAGAGTTGAGACCCACATGGCTAAATTCTCTTCACCTCACAGGACAGAATAGCTGTATTCAAGAAGTTCACTGGCAATGGTTCCTGGCCCATGCTGCACCCATAGCCACCACGCTGCACTATCTGGGAGACTTTTTTGGTTTAGGCCAAAACCATGCAATAACATCAGCAGTCATGTAACTGTAGCACTACAAGATAGACTCCAGTCTCTGTCTAGCCCCTGTTTAGATTATTTGTATAGATGTAGCCTTTGAAACCAGTGCCTTGAGTTTTTGGAGTTGCACAAAGGAAGTGAGAACCAAAACCAGATCACCAGATCACATGTGGTCCAAAGAGGAATTGTCCAAATCAGTTAAGAGGTAAGGGAAGGAGAGCTGCATGGCAGAGCAGGGCAGGAGGTGAGACTGGTAATTTTTTCTTGTAATAGCAACTAATAATTTTTTGTTTTCTTTCTTTTTGGTAGGGAGACAGACCAGTAGACATGATATTACACTAGATATTGTGCAGTTATAATGTGTGACTACGTCTTGTGATTATGTCTTCACAAAGTGGTGATGTCCATGGTGCAGAAGGGTATAATACATCTCATAGTCAATTCAGTCTGGTGTTAACATGAACCTGAAGAGGTCAGGGGGTAAATCACAACTGCACGTTTGGGTATTATACAAAGTACATAATAGCTATTGGATATTTTGGGCTCTGAAAGCCTTTCCTTCAGAGGACAGGCTTTACAGCCCCATGCCTCGCTCCGACAGTACTCTGTGACTGAGCAGCCCTTCAGCGTTCTATGTTTGTCAGTTAATATGTCTTTTGAAATACAAAACCACCTCTAGGTCCAGTGGTGACATTGCTTTACTTTCCAGAAGTCTCAGTTTGGCCAAGTGGCAGAAAGATCTATTCTGATTCCCTTCTTTTTCAAGGAAGATGACGGTGCAGTCCAGTTAATCTCTTACTCTCTAAATTGGATTCAGGCATGAAGATGATGTACAACACTTCAAAGTGATGAGGGACTCAAAGGGAAACTATTACTTGTGGACAGAGAAATTCTACTCACTGAACAAGCTGGTAGACTACTACAGGACAAGTACTATCTCCAGGCAGAAGCAGATTCTCCTGAGGGACGACAGCCGAGAAGAGAAGGTAAGCACAAGCTGTCCTCAAGAGTTACTGAGTAAGAAACCCTTCTATTGAAGGAATTTGGCCCACAGGAATGTCTTGCAGAAAGTGTGAGAGAGGGTCTGCCCTTGGAAAACTAACCACAACACTGTGCTGGTGGGTGCTGCAACACAGATTTTTAGTTGATTCAGTAGTGCATGTGGTTATGTAATTGAGCAGAATTTTCAGATTTTGTTTTGGATATTAACAGAAAGGGCTCAAATCCACATAGAGGAGTTCTGCTAAAGTTGTTCTGAGGCTCTGGAGATGAAATTCTAAGATGCCTTGCACAAGCAAGGGAGGCAGGTTCTACCATATGAAATGCCTAGCTCTTTTCATAAGGGCTCGTACAAAGTTTACTGTTAGGTTGTCTGAGGAGAATTTGAATCTGATGTCCTTTTGTCCTTGAATACACTCAGATTGCAGCTGTTATTACAGTGCAAAGTTTGTTCAGAAGAATCATGTATTTTCTGTTAGTGAACACAATTAAGGGTGTGGAGGCTAGTGGCTAGTAAGGGCTGAAAAGCACTGCTGAGGAGAGCACAGCAGATGTGGGAACAAGGTATGTACTCAGGGAAGATGTAGTAGATGAGAAGATAAGAAAGCAGGGAAATCCCAGCCCAATGAATGCCTGGTTTTGTGCCAGGAGGACAAGCAAAGGCCATAGCAGCGGTTGCTCTGCACTGCACACACAATACTGGGAGTGATCATGCCTGGTCACTGCAATAACCAAGGTCCAACCCTACTGGGAAACGGATTCTGGTGTTAAATTACCAGGATGTGCAGACAGAGGTGAGCAGGAAGTACAGGACCTGCTCACCACAGCAGTGAAGTTTTATAGGCTGCACGTGGGTCTTTCTTGCTGGCTCTGAAAAAGAGAGGATTTATATTTTAGTCTGAAGAGGGGACTTGTGTTGTTGTCTCCTTTTAGTTCACTTATTCAGCACTTTAAAAATGCATTAGTGGGATATAAAATAGAGACTCTGGAGCCTGTGAGAGAGAGAGCACAGCAAAGAATAGTCTGGAGAAGGAGAAAGGAAGACTTGTATGCAAGATTACCAATAAAATAACCTGTTTGAGCTGACTGTGAGCAGGAAGGGAAAGGCATTTGCTACAAGATGCAGACAGGCAAATAAAAAACAGGAGTCAAGTTTGCTTTGGCAAAGGCTCTGTGCATTTGTTATGGTGATGGGCTCAGCAGGGTATGTTTAGCACTCAGCACAGTAGGGTTTCAGTTCACAGTTAGAATTTTTAGCTGCTACAGCCATATGATAAAATGATAGCAATATATGGATTTCAGTGCAGAGACAAATGAAGTCTGAGGGCATTATTTCTAAAAAGTTTGCTTCCTTTGCCAAACCTCATGTAAGGGACCACATTTTCAGGCCAGCATCACCCATTACCACCCACTTTTCAAATGGTAACAGCTATGACAAAGATCTACAATCCAGGAGTCTTGATTTGTCCTTCCGTTCAGAGGAGCCTATCTCTGGAAGATCCTCCAACATAAAGGGTAGTGATAATAATCCATGGGTAATGATTGCTAAGCTTCAGTCAGGATCGTGGTGGGAAGCAAAACCTGACCTCACTTTTGGAATCTTTCTTCCCTCAGGAAAGGCGTGGTGGGAGCCTGGAACGAATGAGCCGGGATGGACTCCATGTAGGTGGAGCAGCTGGAGAAGCTCATTCTTCTATCTCCAAGAGATATGTGGACCATCCTGTCCCCATGTTGTACCAGCAACAGGTAAAGTATTTGGACAACGCTCTCAGACATATGGTTTGATTTCTGGGTGGTCCTTTGTGGAGCCAGGAGTTGGACTTGATGATCCTTGTGGGTCTTTTCCAATACAGGTTATTCTGTGATTCTACCAGGAAAGAGAGCACATGAAGCCTGGGCACACAAAGCATTTGCCTTGATTGCTTGATAGCAAGTGAACAGCCACTTTATCAAAATCTGCCACCCTGAATCTGTGTTAGGAGGCAGTCAATCAGTTCTTCCTATGGGAACAGCAGCAATGATGGATGGTATCAGCCTGGGGAGCTCTTTTGGATTGAAATAAATGTCAGCTTTGTTTAGTTCTGTGATCCTTGGGACTGATTGACAAACAAACAAAAAATAGAAAATGGTTCTCCATGGTCCTTCCCACTGGAAACCTGAGAGTACTGGGTTCCATCCCAAAAAATGGAAGACCAGGGTTAGTGCCTTGTGAATGTACAGAAACACTTTCCAGTCTTGTACACAGTTTCAGGAACTCCTCTCAAGTCTGAGGGACAAATGAGACCTCACTGCCTATTCTTTTTTTCTATGTGATGCTGCTGACGGTGACACAAAACACATCAGGAATAAGAAATGATTATGGTAGCACTGGGAGATTTTGACTTCCTCCAGAACGTTCTTCCTCATTTTCCTCTCCATTCAGGGCCCTCTCTGCGCTCTTTCATCATGATGTACCCCTGGTGTGTGATGCCTCTTTGCTCCCTTGTTAGCACAGGAATGGAGAAGACAACAGCAGTATCTGGTGATGTCTTCAAGGTTCTTGATTAATCTGGGAGGAAATCATTTTCACAAAAATCCTGTGCATACCATAACACGAGCCTCTGTGAAAAAATTAACTGTCCCAGCTAAAACCATAGTGGTAAGGATGGCTTGTGTCTCTTGATGGAGACAAGGTGATATCAGCTAAGGAGAGGACTTGTCCTGCTGAAGGGAAGAAATCCAAACCTGTGTCCCCTAAGGCACGAGAGCTCCTTTGGCCAGAGACAATCGTGAAAGAGCTGATCTCTCACCAGATAGCCTGTCAGAGGACTGCTGATGGAACAAAACGGCCTATGATAAAGCCTAGGGCCTGCACTTGTTGGTGCACAGTCTACTTCTGAGTCACATTTGTTACGAAGCAGAAACACTCAGGAGTGAAGCACCCATATAGTAAATCCTGAAAAGCCAGACTGAAGTCACTCACCTCCAGGCAAGGACAGCTGAGGTGCAAATTGTGTTCCAGTCTCAGATACATTTCATGCTGACAAAGTAAGACCAAGGGAGCATGTAGAAGACTAAGTCCAATAAAAGAAGCAAGAGCCAGATAGCTTTTTTCAGAAAGCACAAGTTGTTGTTCTTTTCCCCTCTGTTGATACAAGCGCTCAGATCCTGTGACTCTGAAGCACTGCTGCAACCTGAGCTAACATGATAACAGATGCTGTCACATCGTTATCATAAGAAACCCTCAGTGCACATACAGCCTGTAGAGATGAAGACACTCAGCACCTCTTGACTGTGCAGACAGAAGAGAACTTGCTTCCTCAAAGCTTTCCACTGGTAGGATTTCAGACGTGCAGCCATTTGGCATCTTTTCTTTGAATGTTTTTTTTCCTCTTTTTGATTTTTTTTTTTTTTTCCTCTTTCATTAATTGGGCTACTGGGTTCTTAGGCCTGTTCTCTGTTCTGTATAGCATGGAGTAGGAAAAGGGAAGTAGAGAGACTGAGTCTCAGTAACTGCAGATAGGCAAAGTATCCCCTTGGCAAGCTGGCTTTTCACCTGTGACTCAGAACAGGCTAAGCTTTTTTCCAAAGTTTCCAGAGGCCAAAAAAAGACACTGAAGCTTCTTTCCAGCAGATGTGGAACGTAGCTGAGGGCAGCCAAATTTCAACTTCTATGGAGAAAAATCCAAAATAGAAGAACCTAAGGTGACCTCTTCCATGACAGGAATTGCTTCCAGGACTACAGCCCAGCGACTGTACTGGAAGCAGACATCTAAGATCATTTACAGGAGGGTTGGACCCTGACTCCTTGACCACCAATGACTCTTAAAACCCCTCACTCATAATCGTTTAAATGTTTGTGACATTTCTCTTGCTGTTTTCCTTCTAGGATAGGTACGGGGGGAGCCTGGACAGGAAGGATGCACTGCATGGACTAAGATATCATAGCCAAGGAAGTGCAGCAGCTATGCAACGGAGACACACGGACCCACTGCACCAGCAGACACCGGTGGGTAACGTACTTGCAGGGCTACACCTACCCAACTTAATGGTTCCCTTAGTGATGGCCAAGCAGTTTGGGCAATGCCATCTGCACAGAGGTCGCACTTGAAACAGTGTATTGAACGTGTTGGGACGTATCTTAGAAGACATTTCTGAGTCTCAAGGCTCTACTGTGGCCACTTGAATCTCATCCTGTGGCTCTTTGAAGGTAGGACTAGAGTGTTACATTAGCATAGTTCTACAACTGTACTCAAAATCATTCTTAGTTAACCGACCTATCAGAAGAAGGAGCTTAGCATCAGCTCACCACAGTAGGGATCTGGGGCATTGTGAGAAGGCATGAGCTCACCGAAGGATCTGGATCAAGCATGTAACTCATGGTTTCCTGCTCATCTCTGTTTCCTTCTCAGCGAATACTATGGGTCCGTGCCTTGTACGACTTTGATGCTGTGGAACATGATGAGCTAGGCTTTCGCAGTGGAGACATCGTAGAAGTCCTAGACAGCTCCAACCCATCATGGTGGAAGGGACGTCTGCGTGGGGAACTGGGTCTCTTCCCTGCCAACTACGTCACACCGGTGCTACTGTGAGGCTGCATTTGTGCCCCAGAGGTTCATATCTGAGCTGCTCGTTTGACATGACAGGGACAGAGAAGGAGTGCATCTTCCTTTGTCCCCAGGACATTTGGTGGTTTGGGTTTTGTCTTAATTTATTGGCAATTGAGCTTCCGAGACGCTGGTAAGAAAGAGAACCCTCTGAAGGATTTTGTTTCCCTGTTTTGCATGTTCATGACTGAGAGGGGAGCAAGAATCCTGGACTGTTGATTGAAATCTTGCTGGATCCTCCCTGCCCATCATTCGTTTGTTTAAGTATTGATAACTTCCTGCAGTTGGGTTCGTTCAGTGGAAATGGCACCTCAGAGAAATCAGGCTTTGGTATCTGGGTAGAACCTACCCCTTTTATTTTGGATCTGGTTGCATTTATAGTCCATTCAAGCTCTGTTCCACCTTTCTTTCAGAGGTAGGACAAGTGCCCAGGTGAATAAAATGATGACTGGTAATCACATTTCTTTTAGATAGGGACGAAAAGTCCTTAGGCTGAGGCACAAGGCAACCATGACTTTTCTAAATATTTTTTGGCTTCCACCTCTAGCACTTTCTGTGGGTTTAGACTCTGTGGATACCAGGTGAAGGGGCGAAATCCTGTTTTTGTACAAACAACCTGGTAATGAAGATATGGGAGGTTGAGAAGCTAATTTCAGTGCTTCTACAGACAGTAGAAGACAGTCTGTGGAAGCGCTACAGACAGTCCTGCTGTCCTGCACTTCTGTCTGCACCCTATTGCAACAATCTGTCTCATTTTCAAGCTGCTTTCCAAGGTACCTGTGCATCCTTGTAGATGTCCTGGTTATAGAGCAGATCAAGCCCTTCAGCTAAATGAATATCCTCTGGATTGAATAACAGTGGGCAAGCCTTACTGGTTCCTTTCTAAAACTGCACTGGGGAGGGGCTGGGAAGAAGAGGTTTTTCAGGTTTGGTGCCAGAAGTTCTGTCCCTGAGAAGGTGGGGTGTTCTGGATCACTGAGTACACGGCTCTGACTTGCCAGTGGAATGCCTCATGCAAATCATTGAGCTGTTACTTTACAGTATGCAGAGAATAAAGTTGCGGCCATTGAATAGTCTGTTCTCTGTTCCAGTTTCTTTTAGATGAATTAAGGTAAATGAATAGGATTTCAAATCATGGCTGAGTGAATGCCAAGATGTGATACAAATGTATTGCAAACGAATGTTAAAAATGATCCAAACCATGACAAAGAGACACTGCCACATAACCACTGCTCACGCAAGTTTATATTAAACAAGCTGCCTGATTTTTTCACAACATGTGGGACCTCAGCAGTCAGCAAGGAAGTGGTGATTTATCATTCTTGGGAAAGAAATAAAAGGCAAGTGAAAAATTCTAAAAACAAATCAGACTCGGCAAGAAAAATGTTCTTATCTTTTGTTAGTCCCAGTGGGAGAAAAAAAAAATCCAGGAAACAGGTTTCTGGTGCCCAATTCAATGTTGCTGGCCTAAATTAAGCTGCCGCTAGGCAGGGTATTAGCAGAAAGGACCTATTGTCAAAGGTTTGAGAGAGCTCTACCAAAAGCAGCTTATTAATGGCTGAAGCAAAATGAGAATAATTAACATAGCATATAAGCTCTCAAGAGAATAGAAATCTTTGAAAGGCACATTAAGAGCTAATCTCCTTTGACTACCAGAGTGGTTCAGGAAATGGAGAGAGAGCACACGACTCCCTGGGCTGGACGTGGCCCTGTTCTGATGCAGGGGCTCTGTTCCAGGCCGTTAGCATCTTGCCTTTAAAGTGATGTCCATGTGGCTTGGTTTGGAACAAGCTACCTCACTAATGGGTGTGTAACTTCAGTGACTCCACAGGTTGAAGTGTTTTCTTTTGATCCGCTCTTTTTATTTTTTCCTTTTTTCTTTTTAACTAAACTAATGTCAAATATGGAAGACAGGGAGTTAACATTTGATGAGAGAGGGTCAAAACCCAAAGCAAAGATGGAAGCAAAGAGGATTTTAAAAAAACAACTGTCAAAACAGAAGAGGGATAAGAATGATTATTATTTCATACTCAGGTCTGGCTGAAACAGAAAAATTGTATGTTCATCCCTATCCCCACAGCGTCAGATCATCTTTCAATTAGTTCTTTCTGACCAGTTACTTTCAAAATTGGAAGTAGTGTCTCCTTTTCCTTTCCTTGGCACTCTAAAGACACTCTTGGTAGTGAAGATGTAGCTGCACAAAATTAATTGAAGATAACGCACATAGCAGTTCGATGGCTCTTTCACACGTTTGAAAGCCCTTTACAGAGATTGACTAATTAAGCAAGTCTAAGTAGTATGTTGTAAGTACCCCCATGTTAAGTCATAACTCTTTTGAGGAAGAGGTAAATTTGCACGTGATTTTTTAATTGACGTTTAAGGAATTAATACTTCAAGTAACTAGCATTAAAGGACTCTGTGCTAATTACGACAGCACATAAGGACCGCAGTAAAATCATGGTTTCCCATTATACAGGCAGCACCTAATAACACCAAAATTACTAGGCAGCAAAGGTTTCATGGCATCCATGATAACTAGACTGGTGCCATGTTATGCAAACTGCCTTGTGAGCTGGGATCTGCAAGACCCAGTGTCATTTTGTTCTGGGGAACAGAGGCAGTGCTACTTGCAGGTACCTGTTCCTACCAGCAGCTGGAAGGCACAGGAGTCAGACTGCATTTTTGTACCCTCCCACAGTGGAATTTGTTTTCTTCCCAGTAAAACAACAGCACAGAGAACGGTGGCCCTTCCCACATTGATGGAATCCTTGGATACAAGGAGGGTAGTTTTGCTGAGGTAGAAGATGTGTCCTTGGAGACACTCGAGGTCAGGCTGGAACAGCTCTGAGCACCCTGATCTAGCTGAAGGTGTCCCCATTCACTGCTAGGGAAATAGACCAGATGGTGTTTAAGGATCCCTTCCAACTCAAAGGATTCTATGATTCCATGCTGTGCCCACAGGACAGATGAGTTCTCCATGCCCTGTCTTCTGCTGTAGCCTACCCATGAAATCTCAAGTAGAGTAATAACAAAAAGGAGAGAGAAATACAGTCCCCTCCTCCACCCGTGTCTCTCACCAGCCTTCCTGCTTCATCTTCCCACTGGTTTTAACATCAACAGAATCCTTATTGATGTTGTAGTGCTGTGAAAGCTTCTGATTCTGTGCAACGAGCACATGTTAGCACCTTAGGACAGGTGCTTTAAAATGACAGTGTGGTGCACTGAATTTCCTGGGTGTTTGTCAATGTTTGATAAAGGATTAACCCTTCAGAACACATCCTGAGAGCCAGTGTAAAACCAAAAAGGGGAGGAATGAAGAGGAACCCAGGGAAGCGTTTTGTTTGGTATTTCTCTTAGGCAAGAAAGAGAGAAGAGATTGTAAACAAAGATAAAACTGGGAAAAGTATGTGGGAAGGCAAACATTGTTATAACAAATGCAACAGAGGAAGCTGGACGGCACATGGAAAAATAACAGTTTGATGAGCACAGCTGAGCTGTGCTTTCTACTGTCAGAATGAACTTTTCGCCTACATTCTGCTGCAGATCCATATTTTGTTTATAAATGTCTCTGTGATTAATAAGGCTGAGAGAAAAACAGTACATGGAAATCTCCTTTCATGAGAAAGCTATCCAGACAGTTTTCTATGCCACAGAACAGAGATGCCTCTGTTTTGGTCTATATGCTTATTATGACGGCTGCACTCAGTGGAGCATGCTGCAGGAATAACTGGAACAGAAGAGCACTGTGGAGATGATCCTCAGTGTTGGCACTGAGGATCCCCTGTACTGCAGATACAAAGGCCTGAGAACAAGTTTCTTGATTGTTGACTTTGATTGTTTTTTTTATTCAAAGTAATTTGCAGTTTATCATAGAATTGTTTGAGTTGGAAGGGCCCCTTAAAGGCCATCTGGTCCAACTCCCCTGCAATGAACAGGGACACCCACAGCTTGATCAGGGTTCTCAGAGCCCCTCCAGCCTGACCTTGGATGTCTCCAGGGATGGGGCACCCACCACCTCTCTGGGTAACCTGTTCCATCACCTCTCTACCCTTGCTGTAAAAGACTTCTTCCTTATATCCAATCTAAATCTTCCCTCTTTCAGTTTGAAACCATCTCATAGAATCACAGAATCCTTACAGTTGGAAGGGACCTCTGAAGGTCATCTAGTCCAACTCTCCTGCAATGAGCAGGGACATCCACAGCTAGATCAGGTTGCTCAGGGCCTTATCCAGCCTGGCTTTGAAAGTCTCCAGGGATGGGGCAACAACCATATCACTGGGCAATGTATCCTAGCACCTCGCTGCTCACATCTTAAAAGATTTTTCCTCATATCTAACCTAAATCTCTTAAAGTTTGAAACCATTTCCCCTTGTTCAATCACCACAGACCCCACAAAAGAATTTCTACCCTTCTTTCCTGTAGCTCTCCTAGATACTGAAAGGCCATTATCAGGTCACCTTGGAGCCTTCCCTTCTACAGGGTGAAAAGCCCCAGTTCTCTCAGCCTGTCCTTGTAAGAGAGGTGTTCCACTCCGTGGATTAGATTCGTGACCCTTCTCTGGATGCACTCCAACAGGTCTATCCCTCTCCTGTACTGAGGACTCCACATCTGGATGCAGTACTCCAGGTGAGACCTCACTAGTGTGGAGTAGAGGGGCAGGATCACTTGCCTCAACCTGCTGGCCACGATCCTTTCGATTTCCCCTTGTCTTTTTACAACACACCAGGCTAAAGAATCTCTCCCCTTCTTTCATAGAGCCCCCCACTAGATACTGAAATTTCAATGGGCTGTGCAGGAAGTGCAGAGCTTTTTACAAACAGATACCTGTAATGCAAAATGCCCCAGCAGCTGTAATCCAGAAGTAAGGTGAGGGATGAACTCTGCACAGAGCAGGAAGTGATAGGTCTTTAATTATATCAACATTACATCTCATGTGATGACAACAAGGATGTTGGTCTAGAGATATGGCTGTCTGGGTTTGGGCTGTGCTCAGAGTCTTGCTATGCTGCTTTCTGTTAAAGAGCCTGAGTTGCACTAAACGAAGTGTGAGAAGTTTTTGGCAATGCTGTTCCCTCTAAGGTATACCAGGGCTTCTGCTTGTCTGTGCCTCTCATGGCCAAGAATCATAGAATCATAAAATCAGAGAATCACAGACTGGTTGGGTTTGAAGGGACCTCAAAGCCCACTCAACCCCACCACCTACCGTGGGCAGAGCTGCCACCCACCAGCTCAGGCTGTCCAGGGCGCCATCCAACCTGGCCTTGAGCCTCCAGGGATGGAGTACCCGCAGTCTCTCTGGGCAGCCTGTGCCAGTGCCTCACACTCCTCTCAGTGAAAAAAAGACTCCCTGAAACCTGACTGCAGCTGCACACTGCAGCTGCACCCTGTTGCCCCTTGATACACTCAAAAGCTCATCGCCCAGTTTGTGCCTCTGTGCTGACATAAGAAATCCCTCTGTAGACACCTCATTTCAAACACCTATTCAAAGCAATTGGCATAGCTGCTCTTAAATGCAACCCTGCAGAGATCAACTGAAACCATTAGTGTACTCTGGATGATCCAGAGAGTAACATTCACTCCTTCCAACACTCATGTTGACTAAAGAGCTCCTGACACCCAGGCACTCCTCAGTGCTGAGAGTTTCGCATTTCAGTGGGGAAGCATGAAGTGAGCATGTGATGAGAGAGCTTTAATGGCTCTGAGGGAGAGGGCAGAGCATCACCAGTACTTCCAGTGTTTAGCGGCAGCTTTTGTGTGACAATTCAGATGCCTTAATTTACATCAAATGTAGAAGTAGTTTCTTATATCAGCAGAACTGTCAGTAGAAAACAGCCAAGGACTTATCTGTGAGGTGCAGGATAGTGAGAAAATGGGCAAGTGAAGTGGGCAAGCTCACTGACCTCTGTGCAGAAAGAAAATTGAAAGCACATTATCTGCTGTCATTGTGCGACTGGATGCTACTTGGCGGATATCCTGCCTGCTAACTTCAGAATTCAAAGTTTGCCAAATGGCAGGCATGCAGAGATCCTGGTAGACACACAGAAGTAAAATTAGCTCAGGCAACAAAGGGAGGAAGGAGAAACAAACAAATTAACTGATCTCTAGATATCTTGTGGCTTTTCCTCACTAGCCCGAGCAGGTTCGTTTCCACTGGGATTTATGGAAGATATTGCCACAGCAAATTTGTTTGTCACAAATAAAGAGGAGAATTTTCAGTGCAGAAAAAATGCAGTTTAGGACATGAGTCCACTATTGTGCACTTAAAGCTATAAAACGGCGGCAGTGCCCTGATAGCGCAACTAAAGTTCAATTCCCCACACAAGAGGCTGTTCCGAGAAACCATCCCATAAAATCCAGCCAGAGAA